GCAGCTGCTGTTGTTGCTGCTGTTGTGAGGAGTTTGTAGTGGGCGCCAAAGGCACTTATAAAGGGGGTACGGTGTTCAGGTGTATAGGCAGCTTCCTGCTTGCTGCTGTCGCTGGGGGCCCCTGCAGCCAGACACCCTCGTGTTGCTGCTGCTGCTGCTGCTGTTGCTGCTGCTGTTGTTGCTGCTGCTGCTGCTGTCAAGCTGAGGCCACAGGCAGCGAGCATATATGAAGGGGGGCCCCCGGGGCAACCACAACAAAGACAGCAAAAACAAAAAAGAACGGCAACAAACAAAAAAAATAAAGACAAAAGAAAAGACAAAGACAAAGACAAACACAGAGAAAATAACTTCATCAATATAAACCGCATATAAGGATACGGGGGGCCCCCCAGGGGGCCCCACACCAGAAGGGGGGCCCCCCTGGTGTCGGTGTGTACCCTCATCGGCGCTCTCGCTGTATAGAGTTCATGTACATATTTACATTGTTTTATTTATTTTTTTATTTATTTAAATATTTTATTTATTTATTTGTTTGTTTATTTATTTATTTAATCAGCAGGGATGCGGGGGGAATGCCCAGTGGCCGCTACCAGTTGAGTTGGGGCCTCCATGAGTTGTGGCTCCTCCGCCTGATAACTAGGGTTTAGGGTTTAGGGTTTAGGGTTTAGGGTTTAGGGTTTGGATGCTAGGCGGTTGCTGATGCCTGCGGAGGATGGGGCCTGGCAGTTCGTCTCCCGTCGTGGTCGCGGGCGGCGCTCTGCAGGTGCTGGGATCGTCTCCCCACACGACCCCAACACCCCACACGACCCCAACACCCCACACGACCCCAACACCCCACACGGTCCCAACACCCCACACGATCCCACGGATCCCCAGAGGAGATCCCAGGGGGAGTTCGCAAGGACCGTGTGCCGATATGGGGGCCCCGGGCCCCCCATCAGCTCCTTCAGGGCCCAATCAGCAGCAGCAGCAGCAGCAGCTGCTTCTGCTGCTGCTGCTACTGGAGGTAATGATGCAGCACGAGCAGCAGCAGCAGCAGCAGCAGCAGAAGCAGCAGAAGCAGCATCGGTTGCTGCTGCAGTGAAGGAGCTAAAGAAGGAGGTAGAGGTTTCTGTTTTATGGGGGGAGATAAAACAAAAGCTAGCAGCAGCAATATGCGATGAATTGGGGTGTATGTACAGCAGGAGTTTGGGTTCATCAGCAGCAGCAGCAGCAGCAACAACAAAAACAAAAACAAAAACAATATGTACTGTATCTTCTTCTTCATCTTTATTAAATATTATAAATAGAAAAGATGTTGTCTTTCAGCTCATATGTTTGGGGCTTGGTAGCCCTACTGCATGCAACGCATGCATAGATGCACGCAGCTGCAGATATCAATTGGGGCTGGCGCTGCTGCTGCAGCAGCTGCTGCACCTCCCCAGCAGCAGCATCCATATACTGGACCCCGTCATGAGCAGCACAGACATGCATGCACTCTCTCTCCTCTTTGATGCTGCTCCTGCTGCTGCTGATGCTGCTCCTGCTGCAGCTGCTGCTGTACCTGCTGCAGCTGCAGCTCCTTCTGCTCCTGCTGCTTCTCCTGATGGTGCAGCTGCTCCTGCTGCTGCTCCTGCTGCTGCTGCTGCTGCTGCTGAAGGAGACAGTAAAAAAGGAGACAAAAAGTACAAAATTGTTGTTTACTTCGCCCCACACTGTGATGCGGATCTGTATGGAGATGTTATTGCTGCTCAGCTGTCTATACAGTCCTTCTGTGCTCGCTGCTGCAGCAGCAAACACAAACACATACACACTCTACACAGCAGCAGCAGCAGCAGCAGCAGCAGCAGCAGTATCGACAGCAGTAATAACAGCAGCAGCAGCAACAAGGGCAGCAACAGCATCAACACCAGCAGTAAAGACAACAACAGCAACAGCACAAGCAGCAACAGCATCACTACCAGCAGTAGCAACAACAACAACACCAGCAGCAGCAACAGCAACAGCAGCAGCAGCAACAGCAACAGCAGCAGCAGCAACATAATTCCTAGCAAACCTACTGCCAATCCGCCGCCCGTATCTTTCACCCCCCCCCAGGGCCTCCAATCTTCTCCAGGGGCCCCTGGGCCCCTAAACCCTCAGGGGCCCCCAAACCCTGAGGGCCCCCGCAGCCCTGAGGGGGCCCCAGAGGGGCCCCCAAACCATGACCGGCCCCCACAGTGTGTGGGGCCCGGGGGGCCCCCTGGAGGGGCCCCAGGGGCCCCCCATGGGGGCCCCTTTTTGGGTTGTGGTTTTGTGCTGATAGGAAATGGTTTATTGTCTTATGATATGAGGAGAAGTCTCTTTGGTGGTTTTGCTTTGGTTGAGGATAAAGAAGAAATATATAATAAAAGAGAAAAAGATAAAGAATATAATACAACAGAAAAAGAATTATATAATAAAACAGAAAAAGAAGAAATATATAATGAAACAGAAAAAGGAGAAGTATATAATAAAACAGAAAAAGAAGTATACAATAAAACAGAAAAAGAAGTATATAGTAAAACAGAAAACGAAAAAGAAGAAAAAGAAGGAAAAGCAAGAGAAGAAAAAGAAGGTGGAGGTGGCGGAGGAGGAGCAAGAGGTGCAGTAGAAACAGAAATAGCAGCAACAGGTGCAGCAGCGACAGCAGCAGCAGCAACAGCAGCAGCAACAACAGCAAAAGCAACAGCAGCAGCAGAAACGACAGGAGAAGGGGTGCAGGGTGTTTGTGTGGAGACGAAAGAACCCCCAAACCCTTCTCTAGAAGACTGCTGCAGCGGCGCTACATCTGCTGCTGCTGCTGCTGCTGCTGCACCTGCTGCTGCTGCTGCTGCAGTATGTAGAGACGGTTGTAAGTTTGTTCGGCCGTCTCGTGGTGCGTTGCTGCTGCTGGAGTTGCTGCCGTTTGTATATGAGGATTTGCTGCTGTCTCCTTTTGCTGCTTATCCTGCTGCATTCAATGATATGGCTGTCTCTCGCTTGCGGGGCCCCTCAACAGAGGAAGAGAGGAAGCAGCTATTCTTACATATGCTGCTGCTGCACCAGCAGCAGCAGCAGCAGCAGCAGCAGAAAGGGAATGCAGCAACCAAGAATAGACGTAAACACCACAACAAACATAAACAACACATCCACACACAGACACCACGCTGAAAAACTGTTGCTGCAGCAGCTGCTGCAGCTGCAGCTGCAGCTGCAGCAGCAGCTGAAACAGCAGCAGCAGCAGCTGAAACTGCAAAAGCGGCTGCTGCAGCAGCGGCTGTACAAAACAGCTGCAGCTGCTCCTGCAGCAGCTGCAGCAGCACGAAGTCTTGTATGTAGTTACATGTATATACGTTTGTCTTCGTCTTTTTTTTTGTTTTATTTCTGCTGGCGATAAACTAAACCGAATTCATGCCCTTACGAATACATCCTACGACTAGCTGCTGCTGCTGCTGCTGCTGCAGCAAAGAAAGCAGCGACTGCTGCAGCAGCAGCAAAGAAAGCTGCAGCTGCAGCATCTGCCGCGCTTCGCGTGCAGACCAAACTGCTGTTAGGCCATGAAAACTTGAACGGGTGCTGCTGCTGCTGCTGCTACTCGTTGCTGCTGCTGCTGCACGTACAGCACGACCGAAGGCGTCAGGGCGGAGCTGAGGCAGCGGCAGCGCTGACAGGAGGCGCAGCAGCAGCAGAAGTTGCTGTATCGCTGCTTGTTGATGCACTGCAGCGGGGCCTGCGCTTCTGGGCAGCTCCTGCAGCAGCTTTACCTCTCCCATAGCCGCAATGCCCCCTACACAGCAGCCTCCAGTTTGATGCCTTCTATATATGGGTAATCCGTATAGTACAATATCATTAGATATTTGGTATGCTCTATGTTTTATCTTTTTATTTACTTTAGGTGGTACCACTGGAGCAGTTCTTTTCTTAAACTAACTTCTGTTTCCGCCTAGCCACGCACGGCCCCCTCTGCTTCTTCCTTTCCTCATACCCTTGTTGATACATCTTTTTAGCCAATGCTGTTTTCCTTGTTCTTCTTCTCAGTGCAGTTACTGCCCCCTTTTGGCATACCAAAATAAAAACTTTTTTCTTCTTTTTGCCCCTCGAACTGCCGCTTTCTCCCCTGATTCAGGTTCTTCTAATTCATGTCGGGCCCTTAGAAGCAACAGGCGCCGCTTCTTAAGCACCGCTGAAGCTGAATTCCTATTAGTGCTTTTTGCTGCACTGTTACTGGGTGAAAGCTCCCACGCACTGCGGCAAACTACTGGAATTAGAGAGCTGATACGCAGCTAGCTAACTAGTCAGAGCCACTGCAGCACAAACTCTGTACTTGAGTACATTCAATTCATTCGGGTGTACAAGTTGCCTCCGGTCAAGACATCCGAGAACAGAACTAAACCAGAATAAAACACAGCAGAGGGAGAACCCGGTAAGAACGAGAGGAAGGATTCTCCCCTTGCCGTCTTCGCAATGTCTGCTGCAAATAGATAGATGACAGTTAACATCGGCAGTAGAGACGCGGGATCCAGGGCAGCTTTCCTAAGGCAAATGGACCCGTGACGGAAGTGCTGCTTGCTCTGTTTCCCGCCCACGAACAACAGTTGGCTGCCTCAACTCAGCGCCAAGTAAACTCCGCTTGCCGCTACCGGATATCTGTATATGGTTTTCCCTCTCCTTACTGTACAGTGTATAAACAGGTTGTTGGTTTCATTCCCTCCTGAGGCAACTGATGATCTTCTCCCAATCAAACACCCTGCTGCTGTGGGGAGACGCTCTCGCCGCAACAGCTGTCCCTGACAGCGGCTGCTGCTGCTGCTGCTGTTACTGTTGCGGGGGCTCGGGGTCTAGAATAACCAGCAAAGGGAAGAACCCTCGTGCAGTTTCTGAACTGCTCCCGGAGGTTGCTTGCTCCTCGTTGATTGAAAAGTCTGAAAGTATGAGAGCCAGACGCAAGGTGTTGCTGCTGTTGCTGCTCCTTCATTGGTTCATCCCTTGCATCTCCAGCAGTTGCAGCTCTGTTGCACCCGCTGGCTGTCGCCTTCACGNTTACAGCTGACTGTGCATCAATTCAAGTATGATATAAAAAGATTTAAATAGGATATAAATAAAGTCAACATATTTCCATGTAAAAGAAAGCGAAATAGACACACGCGAACATGAAATAAATGAAATAAACAGATCTGAATAGAAGAGAAATGGAATCAGTATACTTCAGGAGCCATAGCAGACTCTACTGCGTTTCAAGGTCGGAAACATACTATGCTCCTAGCAAGCTGTGACCACTTGCATCTGCGGATGGGCTAGTGAGTAATGTAAGAAACGTAGTATTTGCTACTTCTCTGCAGCTGCTGTAGTAGCAACCACAGCATCAGCAGACAGGCAGCTACGTTTCAGCCGCGTGCAACGGCGGCAGCAACACCAACATGCAGATAAAGAAGGGGGATAAGTGCTACAGCTGCTGAGCGCATACATAACAGCAGATGCATCAACGAAAACAGCAACAGCGAGAACAGCATCATGCGGCTGTCGCACCGCTGCAGCGTTTCGAGATCACAGACGACGAGAACAATGGTACACCTTTCGAAAACTCCCACTGTTGCAAAGCAATACCTGGTGTTTGTTATCTTTCTTGTTTTTGATTCAGCATTCGCGAGTCTGAGTAGAAGCCTTGCGTGTACAAGTCGCTCTTCCAGATGTCTTTTGCGTCAATTGCACGTTGCTACCCTCGGGGCGTGCATCATATAATTCACTTCTATAATTTTTTATAGCTGTTTGGCGGTGTGTTCAGACAAACCCTACCCGATTGTTCTGTCCCTGTATGCAACACAACAGACAAACAATAGATCATTTACCTCGCACACCTGCGGTGCGTATCAGCTGCTTGTGATAAACCAAGCTCGTCAAGCACAAGCAAACCAATCAGAAAGCAGTATCTGCATGACATTCTTACGGTGCCATTAGTGCATTGTCTATCTGGCTGCACACCGGCCGCTTAACCAACGACTTTTGCGCACAAACGGCATCCCAGAACCCCAGCAAGCTCGGCCGACTTGACCTTACTAGCCCAGCAAGCATATGGAACGCACGGAATATTTTCATGACAACTGCGTGGCATTCTTAAGCTACTCAAATGCCTCGTCATCGAATCGGCGCACA